AGGTTCTTGAATGACTAAGTCCATCAAAAGGTTACAGTTGTGAATTGGGTCAGCCTTGAGTCAGGTTACTCATATTCAGACACCACAGAAGTTGTCATCATGTTAGAGGACAGGAATTGACGTTGCTAGTGTCAATATTGGGGGGGAACGACAGAAAACAGTGCTGCAGGACTTGAGTAAACTTAATTTGACAGCTTCCATTGATTTGGCTTACACAGAAATACTGCACTCAAAGAAAACCTTGTACTTCTCATTTCTCCCTTGGAAGAAAGCTTTCCCAGCTCTCTGCACTGCTAATGAAAGTTCTTTGGTGTATCCTGTAAATTTGTTTTCAGAGCTGTAGTAATATCAATGCTCCAGACCCATCTATCCACTCAGCTGCCTTCAGCAGCCTTTGTAGTTGCACTTCTGCTCTGGACATGAATTGCAGTGTGGTTGCATTGGTTGCTCAGTCTCAAAGTGAAGGTGCTGGAGAGAAAACTGGAGACTTTTCTTTCCCATCCTGGCAAGACTCGTGTCCCTTGTGTTGGTTTTCACTTAACTGGAAAAATATAAATGCGTGACCTTGTTTTGCTTACACCAATGCTCTACTTGGCATGTAAACATTTGGGTGGGAGGTGAGGGATGCTGATGAATAGGAGAGTAAATGCTCATAAAAAATAAGAGAAAAAATGCAAATTGCTGTTGGGGAACAATGTTTATTGTGCAGCATTTGGGATTAAGCCCTTATGGAGACTGGCACTTCTAAGATGTAACTGCTGGCCTGCAGTGGGCTGGCTGTGGAGTTTAATTGCTTGGTCATTACTTTGGTTCATCATTTTTCTGACTTTGTGACTTTGCTACCCCAGAGTTGGGTTTGCCAAGGTGCTGTGCCTTCTCCCAGGCTTACCTTTAACTGCATTTCTGCAGTACAAAACATCATTTTTTTTAAATTTACTTACTGTAATCAAGATGTGGGTTTAGGTAGTGGTGACAAATAGCTAATAACCCTTCCAGTTTCCCCCACCACCATTTCTTCCTGTTTGTGTCCTGCTTTAAGTTGTGGTAAACTCCTGGCAAAGGCCATCTACTTTCTGCCTTTGTAAAGGTCCTAGTTTTTCTCATCTGATGCATCAAAGATGTGTCAAAGGGTAGTTTGAACTTGAGTCTTCATCTGTAGCAATAGAAACCTCAAGTTGATGATCTTAGTTTTAGCAGAAGATAGTTTTGGTTGAGTTGTAGCATTGGCAGAATTGGTGAATGTCTTTTTTTCATCTTGGTGAATGTCCTTTTATCTGCTGGTTTGTGTTTGACAGTGGTAGTTGGAAAACAAGAGGTCAGGTCTGTATAAAGGGATCTGGATAACACAGAATTTCTGCAATTAGCTTAACTCTTGGTTGAATGTCAAAGTTAGGACCTCTTGCCAGTGTAGATTTGCACAATCAGATTTTTTTTTTCTTAAAAATACATGGGTAGGAACAGTCATTTTGGAAATGTGGTAGGAGATGGAAAATCTAGAATGGAGGTTGATGCTTGAAGGGAATACTCAGAACTTTCTGACCAGGCTAGCAACCCAGTTATTTAGATTCTAAGAATACTTGTCACTAGGAATGGGAGTGCTTTCTGTTTCAAAGACACCAAACTCTTTCACTTTTGACCATTTCTGTGGCTGATGTAAGAAGGAGCATCTTCTAAAATCTGAGACCAACGGAGGGAACTGGTGAAATTACTTTGACCTTTGACTTCAGCCACATTCATTGAAAGACCATGTGGCTGACATTTGATTATAATGAAAAGAAAAATCACAACTTGCCTATGCCTCTTTTATTTGGGTGTTTGACATCTGGTGAAATGGCTTTCAGCAAGAGGAGAATAACTCATCTGAATATGATGCAGAAATGATGTTCCAGGCTCACAAAAGGCTCTCTTCAGCTCCGTGCTCTAGGTGGCCATTTGACAAGTGGCAGGCTTAGCAAGCCTGCAGTGGTGAAGCTGCCTTATGGAAAGTTAAGGCTGCTAGGTAATTAAATAAAAGCTATATGCATTAAGTGGATTTTTTTTGAGAGAGAGATTAGTACTCTGCAAGTATTCTGAAAATGTCAGCTAGACATCCAAAATCTGCAATTGTTGTGGGTCAGTGAGTGTCATCAGTGTGCGTGCATGATGCTGTATGAAACTACATTTCTGTGTGGGAAGCTTATTTTCTTAGATCAGGTGATAGTTCAGTGGCTTTTCATTTTTTTCCTCATTAAAGCCTTTCATGGTTCTCTGATGGGACTTGCTTATTTCTGCAGAATTTATTTATGTTCATTGGGAGAAGTTCCTTTTGATTTCTTGGCTAACTCGTGAGCCCTGTTTATAAGGGCATGTTGTTTGAGAGCAAGGTTGGACTCAGCCACAGTGTAGTGTTTTCAAAAGCAATTAAATGCAGCTGACAATCAGTTGGATTTAGATTTCAATGTTTAGGTATTGTGAGATGTAGACATGAGTCTTTTGGTCCCTAATTAAATGGTTGTGCATCTGTAAAGTGGGTCTACTTAGAAAAAAATGATTCTTTTTTTATAGAAGACTTCATTTTGCCTCACATGACAGTGTGAGCTCCTGAAGTTGTCAAATATAAACTGCTATGAGAGGTTTTTAAAGAGGACTTCTGGGTACAAGGAGGTAACTTTGGAGTAAGGCACACCAGTGAAGCTGAAGAATTGTAGCTGTTGTGGGCTCACGAGCTGCAGGGGTGCTGGTGGGACTCAGATGCCTCTTGCTTTGCAAGGTATTAAGAGCATACAGGTTAATCTAATGCAGTCAGGGCTCCTCTGTAGCCTGCAGCACAGGTCAGTTATTTGGGTGGCCCTTAATCAGAGGGATGTGCTGAGCTTCTGGTCTTAAAGAGGAGACTTGATGCTAAGTGGTTTGGGACTCGGAGTGAGTCCTGGTTTTGTGTGCCAGTAAGTTGAGGATTTTGCTTTAGTTGCTGGATTCTGCTTAAGAGATAATGTTCTTTGATTTCTGTAAGGACATTAAGGACAATGCTCTTTGGTATTTTCTTAATTTTGTCCTTTAATTTGCTGTTGGTAACCCTGTTGCCTACTAACCAACAGTAGCTGCTTGTAGAGCAGTAGTTTGGAGGGTAAATGCTGTGGGCCCAGTTCTGCTCCAGGGAGTGTTAGTTTCCTCTGATCCCATCCTCAACGCTAAATTCCTCAATTTATGGGGTTTTGAATTCTTACTTGTTAAGCAATGGGCAGTTTTGGCAGTTGTTTAATTGTGTCTCCTGTATGTATTTCATTTCAGAGGTCGCAGCAGTGGCAAAGGACCACCTCAGCCTACAGTAAGTACAAGTTTCTTCCTCATTATACCTCTTCTAGGTAGGAGGAAACAACTTACATACAGTGAACCCAGGTATCAATGTAAGAATAGCAGATACTGGAATATTCTTCCCATTTTTTCCTGTGGATACTGTGGTGAACATTTTAGACTTAGGTAACGCTTTTCTGAAGATGTAGCATCTTGCATTCCATTCATTTAAGTCTCCTGGGAGGATGGAGGGAGAAAGACTCACTTAAACTTTTGACTACACTAATGAAAATCTGCATTTTCTTGCAATTATAGTTGTAGATGTGGATAACATTTAACTTAAGGCAATGCTTTTGGATTAGTTTCTGTCTGAAGATTCTAACCTTGTCTTCTGCTTTAAATAGATGACAGTAAGACACCATTGAGCTAAATAAAAATAACAAATTTGTTTGGCTTTGCTATAAAGTAGCTAACCCAGTGTTATCAGGCACCTGGACGTGTCACTTCAGCAATCATCAAGGTTATATATTGTTGAGATACAGGTGTGGCTTGACTTGTAGAACATAATTTTATGAGAGCTAAAAATATGGATTTCAATTGAAAGAGTGGCTCTTTGAACTGCACTAATCAAATATTTGCTAATTTGTTATTGGCCTGGTTTTCAAGGATGACTAATTTTGGGGAAGGAAAGCTTAAAAGGACTACAGTTTACTTACATAAATGTTTATGGAAGATATCAAGACTCTTCAGTAAAAACAAAGAGGCTTTGAGGAAGAGTGGTGACCAGGGTCATATGCAAACACTAACCACCATGGAAGTGTCAGTCTTTACACCCTCTGTAAGGGGTGCTGAGCACAGGAGTGTCCTAAAACACATCTTTGCAGACCAGGAAGGTGGCCAACAGACAGGAGTAAGTGGGTGAAGTAGCTGACAGTTAAAAAGGTATGTTGTCAGCAAAAAAAGCTCAAAATATGGTGAGGTCCTTGCATGTTTCAGCATCTCTTGTTTCACAGGCATGAAGTTGACAGGGAGGGGTAGCAGATGCTGCAGCCAAACACAGACATCCTCTCCACTTCATGTGTGCTCACCCAAGTGTGTCACCCTGGTGATCCTTGGTCAGCTCTCCTAGTGCAGGAGCTCAGACTCTGACACTGCAGTGAATTACTTTTGGCTAATTTTATGATGGGTTTTGCAGCACTGTGGTGCTCCACGATTTGATGACTTTGGCTTCTGTGGATGCATGTAATCAGGTCTGTCAGATGAAAAGATGCAGTTCAGCAAAAAAAATTTCAGCAGGCCCTGAAAGCACCTTTGTACTTCTGCAGCAGTTGGAAGTTCCATATCCTGTGGGTGGCTCTTAAGCCAGAGAGGGGTGGCAGGTAGCAGGGCTTTTTCTATTAGGAGTCTTCACCCAACCAGCAAGAGGATTTCCTTATTGGGTGACATTAGGGGCACTCTGTAACATTTATCTTGTTTGGAAGGATACTCAGATCTTTAATTGATCAGAGAAAGGGTTACAGGTCCTCTGGAAATCCCAGGTGACCTGTATTCTATGTATATTGCCTGAATAAGGCTTTGGAGCAGTGTTTCTAGGAACTATTATTTCCTGATGAAAGCCTGCATTATTTTTGGCACACTAACCTTTTAAATAGTTAAAAGTGTTTCTCATACATTCATGAGGTCTTGTTTTATTTTTTCAGATTTCTTTTGATGGCATCTATGCAAACATGAGAATGGTTCACATCCTAACGTCAGTCGTTGTAAGTCTTCATGTTGGGGAGTAAAGGGGTTTCTATAGTGACACAGAGGTGTTAACTAGCCCACTAATTGTGATATAACACAGTGAATATTAAACTTTAACAGTAGGAATGTTTTGCCAAGATTGAACTTTAAAAATCACAGTAATGGCTGTCATGTAATTTTAGCTTGGAAAGGTTCAAATAGAATTTGCAGAGATAAAGGAAATTTCGTAGGTGCACTGGTTGCATGGATAAATAAAATGAGTGTGTGTGCAGGGAATGGGAGCTTTTCTCCACAGACTTTTGGTTTTGACATGCCAAAATGAAGGCACCCTGTCCCACATCTGTGAGAGCCCAGGATAAGCCTTCATCCTTATTCATACCCACACATATATGCACATTTTGGTTTTTTGACCACATAACTGGTCAAGAGTACTAAATTTTGTTTCTGTCAGTATCTTTAAATCCCTTCACAACAAATGTTGGTGCACCCCCAGCTGTTTGCATCTGCAGCACACAGTGCTGTGTTTATAAATGGGCTGATGTTGAATGAGTAGATTTGACTAAAAACTGAGCTGTATTTTTATCCTGTGTAGTTAGGTTAAAAGTACATCCTTGAGAAAATTGCTCGATGTCATTTGTTAGACTGGTAGAAAGCTGTATTTTTATTTTTTCTTGCATTCTAGGGATCCAAATGTGAAGTACAGGTGAAAAATGGTGGTATATATGAAGGAGTTTTTAAAACCTACAGTCCTAAGGTAATTTTTGTTTTCATTTTGACTCTTCCCTACTTTAAAACATCCTAATCCTGAATAATCAATGATCGCAATCTGAATATTTATTATGAATTATTTTTGCTATACATGTCTAGGTTTACACAAGCAGATTCTTTTTTTTGCAAACTATTATAAACATCTGGTTTGTGCAAGTTATCAAGTGGCTTATTGTGCATTAAGTTAGTGTTTCCTTTTTGTATCTCTAACAGTGTGATTTAGTGCTCGATGCTGCTCATCGGAAAACTGCAGAATCCAGTTTGGGGCCAAAACGTGAAGACATCCTAGAGAGTATCTTGTTCAAGTCTTCAGATTTTGTCATGGTGCATTTTAAGGATATGGATACCAATTATGCAAGAAGAGGTACACTTGTGTTTAAATCTACCTGTATCTTAAGTTTCTAAGTCAAGGTTTTTCAATGTAGATGCTTTAAAAAAGAAAAGTTCACATTTAGACTCTTAACGAGTGCAGAACGTCCAAATAACCCATTAATATCACAGGGATGGGTGGGTGCTGAACACCTCCCTAAATCAGAAATGCACCAACCTTTTTAAAATGGGTGGGAGAACCTTTGTGAGGGCACACAGCTTTGAGTGGCTGTTGCAGGTGTCTGGGAAGCTAATCCTTAGAGGTGTTACAGAACATCTCACAGATTTCATGGGAGGTTGTTTTGTATTTCTGTAAATGTCTTTCTAAATTAGTCTATTAAATGTTATATGAGAATCCATGAATATACAAATTCTTTATAAAAGGATTATTGTGCAGACTTGATGTGCATATAAAGTCTATATTTAGTTAAGTCATTTTTGTCTTTAAACATACATTCATATAAATATTTTGAAAACACTACTGAAAATGGAGCTAAAAATTCTTCAGGCAAGCCCACTATTTGTGTTTTTAATTTCTGCTTCACTATCTGTAGATCTGTAGCTAAGGCTTTCCAAAATACATAAGAACCTAGTGAGGGGCCAGGCAAGTGGTCTTAAAATCTTGGAAGACGTGGCTTGAAGCTGTCAGAATTAACTGATTTTAGAGGCAGTCTTCACACTTTTTCTTTTCATCTCTGACCTCCAAGACCCTAATTATTTTTCTGGAATCTAAGAGGCTCCTAAGTCAGGTCTGGTTCCTTCACAGATTTTTTTTAATTTATTTTTTTTAGGGGGGGGTGATACATCTCAAGGGTTTTTATGCTGATGCTTCTGATTTTCTGGGCTAGGGAATAAAACCACACACATAGCTTTCTGTGCCAGGGGTGAAACTGTGTGTGTCCCTTTTCAGGTTGCTCCCCATCTGTCAGGGGAGCTAAGTGGTTGTTGTAACACACATGCTTGGGTCCCATGTAGCAGTATTTAGAGATGAGAAGGGACTGGTGGATGTTTAATGAGATCCTTCTCTTTTCACCTTGTGTTTGTACGAGCCTATGTTCTTGCCTGATTAAAGCTGAAGAATGAGAAGCTTGTTGTTTTAAGGAATTTGCTTTTCCCAGAAGAAGATGCATAATGTCAGAGCAAATGTAGCATTGAAATGCAGATAAGGTCCAGGTTCTGGATGGGACTTGGAATTTAAATTGCACAAGAGCTGAGTTATAATGGGTCTGCTATGAACATCACTTTAATGGGAATGCAAACTGGACTCTCTGTTACCCAGTCTTCACAGTTTTTGAGCAGAGGCCATGAAGAATATACTACTACTTCTAGGAATAATTGCTCAATGGAAGTTTTCTAGAAGAAAATGACTACTTCAGGTTGAACAGTTCCACTTTATTAGGTGGAATGTATTTGAATCTGAATCTCTTAAGTAGCTGTAGAGGAGAGCTGAAATAAAGCTGTAGAGACTTGGAGCAAGATAAACTGGAAGGCTGCAGAACTCGATAAGTTCTAGTGGGTAAATTAATCTGCTTTCCATTTTGTCTCAAAAATGTATTATCTTGGAATGACACTTGAAAGTGTAAGGCAGTCTCTGATCACACCTGCAAATTAGAGCAACGAAGCTTTCTGCTTCTTGGGAAATTAAACAGGCAAGGATTCAAAAGAATGAGTGTGTGAGCATGCATGGAGGAACTGCTGGCTTTTTGTTCTTATAAATAACCCAAATCTTCATGGTAACAAGTCAGATAAGCCTGTGTCATTCACAGTAAAGACTGAGTCTGAACTCCTGGGTGAGGAGATGGTGCTCCTTGCTGTGTTCATATTGGGAATGGTTTTTATCTGGTGCCCAGAGAAGTTTGACAGTTTTACACTTCTCCAGGAACAAATCTTTTTAAATTGCCTAGTCCTCAATGTTTTTTGGCTTTCACAGGCAAGTTAGTAGACAATTTGGTAGGAAAAGCAGCTTGCTTTCACTTCTTCAAAGATGCAGTCAAACAAAAGGGCACTTCACAAGTACTCTACTGCCATAGGAGAGGCTTACCTAGAGGTGGGTTTGTTGGGGTCTGTGTAAATAGTTCTCCTACCCCTTAGGAGACTACTAGGCTCTCAAGAAGGCCTTGAAGTAAGCTTCATTTCTGGAAAAGATACAGATTTGGAAATTCTGGCATATCCTGGTTTCCTGGGTCAGTATAAGTATCGGGAATTCTTTGGGTTTTTATTCTGACATTTGCTTCTCTGCTGAGCTGGGGGAGTGTGGACAGACAGTGCTCCTGGCTGTGGGTCCTGATCTCCTGCCTTACCCTCAGACTGGGGTAGCAGAGATGGTGGAGTAGCAGCTGCACTGTCTGCCTGACGACCAGGCAGAAGAGGCTGGAAGAGTGCTGGGAAAGAGCAGCAGCTGGAGAGAAGGGGAACGGGATGGATTCTCCTTTCAGAAGAGGAGCAAATACAGTTGTGTCTGAAGGAGCCATGTGAAAGAGCCTGCCAGGCACCTTCCACTGCTATCATGCTCATGCAGCTTTGGAGCAGTGAGCTGATAATCCATCCTGCAGCTCCATCAGTAGCGTGAGTGCAGGGGAGGTAGGGACAGCGTAGGCTGGGGGGGGCCAGACCTCCCTGTTTGGAGGCAGCACTCTGCAGTTTGCTTCTGCCAAGCATGACATGGCACCTTTAGATGCTCTGGTGGAGAGAGCGTGGAGCCTGCCCAGATTGTAGAAATTGGAAGGGTTGGGAGGAAAAAATAGTAGGCCTGTGTAGATTGGGACATTCTAACAGTTCATGTTTAAGAAATAAACCTGTCCCTGCTTCCTGGATCCTTATTTTGCAGCTCAGTCAGCCTGCATAGACCTTTGTGCTTGTGTAGTGGGCTTCAGAAGGAATGGAAAGGGGTCACCTGAGGGTCTCTCCCTGCAGAATTGGGGCTTTCTGCTGTACAGGCAGGCTGATGAATGAAACGTGCATTGGAAGATGCAGGTGAGATTGTATTATATCCATCATCCTCCTTTCCAAACTATTCCACCTGCATTTAAAGAGGGCCAGGCAAGGTTTCTGCACGCAGCAGTGGAAATCAACTGCTAAAAATCCCCTCCAGTGTGTGAGGTTGAAACTCTCACCTGCATGTTAGCCTGGAATATCTTCCTGCTTCACCTTCTGAGGCAAAGGTGGGATGCTTGGATCTCATAGCTGCCAGGTTCCTTGGATTCCACAATGGAAATCAGAGGGAGTATTTATCCTGTGTTCTACAGAAGAAGCTCCTCGTGGTGTTCCCTGTAGTCCTAAACACAACTGGTGGACAGTGCTGGTTTGCATATGATTCAGATTTGAGTAAGGCTTCAGAATTGCCTTCTTGGCTTCCCTTTAAAGACAAGACAATTCAACATCATAACTACTGTTAAAGTAAAAGGCTTCTACAGTGTTTTTATTGTTCTTCTGGTGCCATTAGTGCACTCTGAGAAAAATATTACAAATCCAATGAAAAAAGGCAGGGGAGAACTGGCCATTTAAGTTTTTCCTTGAATTAGCACTGAAAGTGGCATCCTTCCAAAGAAAGTGTTGCAAGGGGAATAGCAGTAGGCACATTATGAACAAAGGAAGGAAATGTAGGCTCTGCAGAGCTGGTGGTAACTGGTTTTAATGTTTCAAATCAGTAGTAAGTAGTTACAAAACAAATGAGAGTTTACTGTTGAAACCTTTCAGATGAAACCTCAGTTTACTTTGGGCCCTGCTGAGCTTGATCAGAGCTTGCAGTGTGCAGCCTGAACACCTCTGGCACGTAACGCCGGTCGGTTTAATAACATCTGAACTGCCAAGCTGCACTTAATTACCTATTTGTGCTCTTCAACATTAGGAGCTCAAAATATGTTTGCGAAAACAAGCGTGTTAAACACTGAAGTGAATTAAACCCGGGCTCTTAATTGCTCTATTCTGGCAATTTTTTTCTTTTAACTCATTTAGTAGCACATACTTGGGAAGAATTTGCCCAAGCTGAGTTTTTCTCAGAATGTGTCTATTTAATTTGCCTTTACTTAATGTGAATTTCTGTTGCACAGAATTATCTTTGGGATTTAGTCTTTTTTTTCTTTATTTTTGTTCCTTTTTCCTAGTTAGAAGGCTTTAAAACAAGAAGCACAAGGTCTTTGATACCAAACCCCTTTGCTTAGGAGATGTCCCAGTAAGCAGGTACAGAGGCAGTGGGGGCTAATGAGTGTTAGAGCTCAAGCTCTTTGTTTGACCCGTTTTCATTTGATCTTCAGCTTGGTTTTTACCATGTAGAAAAGGAATTGATTAAAAATTTGGCTGTGTCAAGGTGTCATGTGAATTGCTCATTCAACAGCTTGGAGGCAGGAGGCACCAGATAAGGGGGAGGCTGGGCCTGTGCAGTCACTGTCTTGTCTGTTATTACTTGGCCAGTTGGCACTTGTAGCAGCACTTCATGTTTTAGCTTCTACTTTAAAGAAGCACAAGGTCTTTGATACCAAACCCCTTTGCTTAGATGTCCCAGTAAGCAGGTACAGAGGCAGTGGGGGCTAATGAGTGTTAGAGCTCAAGCTCTTTGTTTGACCCGTTTTCATTTGATCTTCAGCTTGGTTTTTACCATGTAGAAAAGGAATTGATTAAAAATTTGGCTGTGTCAAGGTGTCATGTGAATTGCTCATTCAACAGCTTGGAGGCAGGAGGCACCAGATAAGGGGGAGGCTGGGCCTGTGCAGTCACTGTCTTGTCTGTTATTACTTGGCCAGTTGGCACTTGTAGCAGCACTTCATGTTTTAGCTTCTACTTTACTAATAATCTTGAGAGCAGTATTTTTGGTTTGGGAACAATTACTTGGAGAATTTATTTTTTTAGCTCTGTTCTCCATTTTGTTGCTCGTTAATTTTGGTAAAGTCTTGTTTGACCTGCTGCATTTTTAATCTTGGTGTCCTGGGTGCCTGCCTAGCTGTTTGTTCCAGGAAAACAGTGATCTGTCCCTTCAGGTGCCATCCTGCTATGTTTAAACTTGGCCTGAATTCTCACGAGACCATATTTCCTGACTAGAAGTCAGCCTTTTGTAGCTTGAATTTCTCCTAACTCTGGATTTTCTTTGAGTTGTAGAGCTCAAACTAATGTTGCAGTCTCACTTGTGACTTTTGTTTTAAAGTGAGAAAGAAATGAGGATCAGTGAAGCCTCCTGTGCCCCATGATATAGTGGATTTTCCTGGGAAACTGGGCACTGACTGTACACACCTTACTCAGATCTGTAGCATTCGTTAGTGCAGTTTTTGTTTTGACTTGTGTGGTTTGTTTTTTGTTTTTCCTCCCAGTTCATCTGTATCATTATAATTTTTAACAGTGCTCTGCTGAATGTTTATGTGGCTTTGTAAATAAGAAAATTAGTGGGTTGAGTAGATGAGTCTTGTTAAGCTAGTATTTTATTCACAGTATCCAAAATGGCTCAGTTGTGTAGTAGGGAGTTTGTCTGAAGTAATTTACTAGACATGAGGGAAACACCCTTCTGAAGTACAACCAATTCCCTCCACCAGGTGCTGTTGTCTGTTCTCCTAACTCACATTTATCTAATCTCACTGGGGAAGAGTCCCCTCTGCTCCCAGTGAAATAATGCAGAAGCAAACCTCCCAGTTTCCTAAATGCCATAAACAGCCTCCAACTCACCTTTAGACTTGCAAATGTCCAATCTGAGAGGATCAGACATGAAACACTGAATTAATGATGTTTGGCACAGAAGCAGCACTGGTTGGTCTGGATTTTGGCAGTGCCAGCGATGGGCTATTGATAAGATAAATGCAGAATTCCCAAATACAAGTGCCTTACTTTTGCCTCCCTGCTAAACATGCTCTTTAGTCACTACTTCACCTGTGGATTGAGGTCGTGTTGTGTTTCTGTGTAGTTTCAGATGACATCTAAACATACCTTCTGTTAGACAGAAAATTTTAAAGGCTGTTTGTGTGAAGGGAAGGTTGGAAGATGTTTCCTTTCGAGTTGGTATGCCTTAGAAATCTGTAGGCTACTTGAAGTTTTGGAGGGTTTTTTTGGGGGAAGCAAAGTGGGGAAATACATGGGGCTGTTCATAGGTGGGAACACTGCTGAGGTTTTACTGTGGAAATGATCTTTGCAAGGTGGGGGATGTATAAACAGTTTAAATATGCCTGTGAGAGGGACTGAAAGAGTTTAGCTTTGCTTGAATTCAGCCGTGTAATGTGAAAAAAAATCCACCTGTACTTATATCTGATGTCTTCCAATTTTTTCTCTCTCCATATCTGTTGTAGTTCCTTCAGAAACAGGTAACTTTTTTGGCAGTCACTCTATGTCTCTGCATCTTGCCTTTCATAATGCTTTTGTTACCATAATATATAACAGAATCTTAATATCTTTGCTCGCACATTTCTGGCACTACAAAACATGCATGTGTGACTTTGCAGAATCATTTAGATCTTGCAGTTAATTGGTGCCTTCTAGTCTCACCCTTGATTTTTTTTACCTTTTCTGAAGAGCTGAAAATGCCACGATTGAAATTTTGCATCAGCATGTAGGTAGTAGGATACAGCAACTCTGCTTCAGGACAGTTTACAGGTCATAGAGTCGTTAAGGTTGGAAAGGACCTCTAAGATCATCAAGTCCAACCATCAGCCCAACACCACCATGACCATTAAGTCATGTCCCCTCTAAACCTAAGTCATCCCAGAACATGCCTGCTAAAGGCATCGTGTTTAGTGATGAGCTAAAACCTGATCTCACTTGGAAGAGTTAACCTCTGGCTGTGTAGGTGCTGCCACAGCTTGGGTGACACTGTGACATCTCGTGGGGTGACCGAGGCAGGGCACATGAGCCCCAGCAGTGATGTGCCTCATCAGGTGTCTTCCTCTCATTTGGCTTTCTTTTCTTGTTTTACCAATTCTTTTCTATTTGAAATAAAATGTTTAGCTAGTAATCTTATTTTACGTACATTTTCTACAACCTTTTTTTCTGTATAATCTTATTAACAATGCTTAATTGCTTAGCCAGAGTTCTGTGGTCTTTGTTTATGAGTTGAGCGAGCATTTCATGAGCTAGTGCTGAATGTTATTAGGCAGACCAAGCACAGTCAACTGTTACAACAGGTCGTACCAAAACTGCCCTGTGAAATTGGGTAAAACAGGAATAATAATCTATGTCAGCAGTCTCTCCTTAAAAAAAAAACCTTCAGTGATTGTTTAAAAACTGTGACATCAATGCCCAACTTCATATGTTGTGAATTCTTTTCATGATGGCTTTAAAGTTCATTTTTCTTAGTAAGATTTCACATCTTGCCAGAAGTTAATTTAAGCCACATTCTTCCATATCTGGTACTGCCTGGTGGTTTAATCTCATGTTTTCTAAAGGTCTGAAATGTTTGCTCTGTGTTTTCAGTAGAATGATAATAGGAAATTCTAGATTGAAGACTTACTCATTTTAGGCTTATTTATTTATTTATAAGCCTGTAACAAGCTTATTTTATCATTTATAGTTCCTTCTGTTTAAGTATGGCAGCTCTGAGATCTAGTTGCTTACAAATACAAAAGCTTGGCTTCCTTGGTGAATGGCTTTGTACATTTTTTTTTAAGCACTAATATTCTAGTATTATCCCTTAAGTCTGGCTTGAATGAAACATGAACAAGTGAAAATAAAAGCTTGTGATCTTTATTTTTTTTTTTTATGTAAGCTTTTATAATTTTTATAAACAATAGCAGACCCTTCCTGCTTATTTATTTTCATGTGCTGTTGAGAACAAGAGTTAGAGTTTCTGAATCTCTCCCTGTGATTTGGGTAAGCTGCTTGAAAAAGCTCTTGCAGGAAAGCAGAAAGACATCTCTGTTCATGTCACAGTGAACGGGTGCACCAAGCTAAGGGGTAATTGGGTTACACTGCAAGGGGAGTCAAGTGTGTGCGTGCATGCTGCTGTGTGGAGGAGCTGGGGAAGCAGAGGAAACCCAGGTATTGGAAGGGAAACTTGTGTTTTGCCCATTTAGGGAATGGGATTGGGTTGCATTCATGCTTTTTGGATATTTGCATAATCTTGTTAGCGCAGTTGTGTGGGCTGTTTGGAAAAGGGCATTATACAAGGAATGAGAATCCTCAGGTAGCCTTTTTTCTTCAAAAACATTACATGTAATTTCTATAAAATACTTGGAAATAACTGAAAGTGCTTAGAGCTATTCTGTGATGCATTAGAAGTTAGTCTGTGCTTCCAGAGTTACCCCAAGTATGAAGTAGGCACCTTCCTGCTGTAGCCTGGTTGGAAACAGCAACCACAGGAGAAGGAGAGTGGTGCTTCATGTGCCTGCAGTGCTGCAGCCTTTGGTTGTTCCTCAGATAAACTAGTGCCTGCATCTCCCTGTGCCTAACCAAACTGATTTCACCCCATCCCTCCCTGCTCCCTTTGTAGATGCTTTTACTGACTCAGCCATCAGTGCTAAAGTAAATGGAGAGCACAAGGAGAAGGATCTTGAACCGTGGGATGGAGGAGAGACCACCGCTTCTGAGGAGCTTGAAGCATTAGAGACAGATGTTGTAAGTAATGCTTTTATATCCCCTGTGACAGCCTGTAGAAAATAAGCTATTTCTCTGGACATACCTTGCAACAATTCCTTAATTTTAATCTAGTAATGAACTCCTGGCTGAAAGTGCTGGCCTAAGTTGTACGGGTGTATGTTCAGCCTTTGATAGCAGCTGCCACAGCACTTTTTTTTACAATTTGAATAACAATAGCTAGATTTCAAATGCCAATTTTGGCAAATATTGACAAATGGCAGCTGCTGTGGTGAGGGACGTGTTTGACTCGTGGGCTGGCTGAAAGAGGAGCTTTTATTAAGGACACCAAATTCAGCAGTACGCTGAAGTGATTTATGTTTAATCAGAGCACTCCTGTCTGACTATCACTGAATTTAAAAATTATGGCAAAATTGTGCTTAGCTAACTGCCTCTGAGCTAAGATGAAGGAAATGAAGGGAGTCTGACCCAGGACTTAATAAGCATGGATACAGTCTCAGCAGATGATGAATCGTTCGATGAAGAGTATGGTCTCAAATGACATTTCCCTCCAT